CCAAGTGCAGAGTGAGGGAGCAAGTCCTCGACCAGGGGCCAAGTGCAGAGTGAGGGAGCAAGTCCTCGACCAGGGGCTTTATACGCTTTCTAAGTCTCTCTGAAAGGAATTAGGGCTTCCCCACCCCCTCAGCTGAGAGAAGGGGAACAGAAGTGGCTTTCAGCACTCAGATCCTCCTGATGCTTCAGCATTATTTGGGCTTGCCGTTCCCATAACAGCTTTTTGGCTGTTTTCCAGAGACCTCAATCCTTCCCAGAGAGAATGACAAGTGGATTGGAAAGAAAGGAGCTGTGTGGGAGTGGCTAGCGTCAGGACTGAGCTGATCCGGGTCACCCCACTGGAATCTGGCATCATTCTCTGGCCCTGACCTACCTCTCATCTTCACTCTCATGGATTCCTTCACTTAACTTATTTTTTAAAACATCTATTACATATCGTCCATGGGCCAGACAGATGGGTACCGTCCCTGTCGTCACAGATGTCGTCACTCTGCAAGGACAACAGGAAACTAATGAACTATTCAATAACATTTTATACGTGTTATGATTGGAACAAGTATGGAGTGTTATGGAAACACACTGTAGCGCCTCCAACCCTCTCTGGTTGCCTTATTGGCCCCATTCATCACCCTAGTTAGAATGAGGCTGAAGATTTTTTTTTTAAATAGCATTTTTAATATAGCAATAATTTTCTATGCTTTTCAAAGAACCTTTTTGAAGACATAAAAATATCACAGATCATTTCATAATAATAGTGAATAGCATTGCAATTGTTGAATAAGAAAATACATAGTGACATTAATTGAGTATAAACGTATAGTGTATCAATCACAATTGTAACAAAATAAAAATTGAAAAAGTAGGTTGATATTTTTATATAACCTATAAATTATGATGTATACATTAGTCTACATCTAGACGTCTTGTAATAACTCTCTATGGACTTATAGGGCTTTTTTAAAAAATTTTATTATGTTATGTTAATCACCATACAAATACATCATTAGTTTTTGATGTGGTGATCCACGATCCATTGTTTGTCTATGACACCCAGTGCTCCATGCAGCACGTGCCCTCCTTAATACCCATCACCGGGCTAACCCATCCCCCACCCCCCTCCCCTCTAGAACCCTCAGTTTGTTTCTCAGAGTCCATAGTCTCTCATGGTTCATCTCTCCCTCCAGTTCCCGTCCCTTCATCTTTCCCTTCCTTCTCCTAATGCCCTACATGCTCTTCCTTATGTTCCACAAATAAGTGAAACCATGTGATAATTGACTTTCTCTGCTTGACTTATTTCACTTAGCACAATCTCCTCCAGTCCCATCCATGTTGATGTAAAAGTTGGGTATTCATCCTTTCTGATGGCTGGGTAATATTCCATTGTATATATGGACCACACTGAAGATTTTTTTAAAAGATTTTATTTATTTATTTGACAGAGAGAGACACAGCGAGAGAGAGAGCACAAGCAGGGAGAGTGGGAGAGGGAGAAGCAGGCTTCCCGCCAAGCAGGGAGCCGGATGTGGGGCTCGATCCCAGGACCCTGGGACCTGAGCCGAAGGCAGACACTTAAAGACTGAACCACCCAGGCGCCTCGAGGCTGAGGATTTTATGTCCTTTAGATTTGCTGAGGATGAAACCCTTTTCATCCCCACACTTGTCACTAGTGCCTGTTTGTTCTGCACCTCACCATCCTGTTCACTGGTATGTGTGCTGCCCTCAGAGAATAGATACCACTATTTCCTTCACATTTCCATCAGCTTTAGTTGTTTGTCAGCACAGACATGGTGCTGCCCAAAGGAGTCCCTGGAAACAAAGTATCTACTCTACCAGCTGACAACTTTAATATTTTTTGAGAAACCTATTATCCATTTTGAATTTAAGAAGTGGTTATGACTATTAACCCTAGACCGCCTCAAACAACCTGAGCATTCCCAAAATAGAAGATAGGAGCTTCATTTCCCAGCCTGCCTTGCAATGAGGGCAAAGGCATGTGACTGGGGCTTCACCAGTCGGAGGAAGGGGCAGAGGTACTAGTGGTAGCCCCTGGTGTCCAGCACCAGCTAGGTCTCTGCCCATCCTAGGCTGTCATAGTGTCTCCAGTGGAGCCATTCTACAGTGGACCCTGGAGTATTATCACTGGCCTGGTATTCTCCAAACCCCATACTTTAGCCGTATCAGAGATTCTGTTAGCTACCTAATATTAAAATTATTTGTGTAGCTGCTTGATGAACTGAAATTGGTTTCATTGTTTACAACTAAGAGCTCTGTCTCTATAAAATGATGGTAATACAGGATACTGTAGTATCACATAGGATGAACATCTGTATTGGTATATGGAGGTCCCAGAGGGATTTTGAGGAAGTCTCTAAGCTGAGATAAGGAGAATATGTAAAAGTTGGCCAGTCAAAGGGCAGGGAGAAGAGTGTTCAGACATAGCCTGTAGCATTCACCAAAGTCTAGAAGTGAGTGTGATTTGGGGAAATGGCAAAAGATGAAGCCAGATTTGAGATGACCATAAGCCAGATTTTGTAAAGCTTTGTAAACTATGTAAAGAAATTGAGACCCATATCATGAGAACAGAGGGAATCACTGGAATGTGGTATTCAGAAGAGTAATACCATCTGATTTGCATTTTATTAAGACTACTTTGATTACGTTGTATATAATATATTGGAATGGGAGATTTGGGCAAGATAAATCAGAGACCAAACAAGTGAAGGTAACTGATATGATGTATTGGGGTTGGATATGAATGGTAAGATTCAAGAGATATTTCAGAAAAGGACTGATCACATTTTGTGCTTGGTAAGGACACTGAGGAAATGAAAGGTAGAGAAAGGATGACCGCTTGGTTTCTGGATTGAAATATGGTACAAATACTTGAGAAAGTATACACTGTGTGTGTGTGTGTGTGTGTGTGTGTGTGTGTGTGAGAGAGAGAGAGAGAGAGAGAGAGACGGAGAGATGTTTTAGAGATGCAGAGAGAATGAATTCTGATTTTGATAAGTTTGTTCAAGAGATGACTGGGGGCTGTAATAGTTTGAAGGCTTCATAGGGAGGTAGAGCGAGTTGGCATCTGAAGGACTGGCAGGGTGTGGACACAGAGCGGATGGACAGGGTATCTGGTGATGGGAGCAGAGTGAGAGAGGGCAGAGTAGGCAGTTTGGGAGGCAATGTTCAAAGGAATTTCTCTCTCTTGCACTATTTCTGTTGGATTTTGTTTTCTCAGAAGTGTCTCTTCTTGAATAGAATTATGGGCCATGTTGTGATACCTATATACTGTCAATCCACTGAGGAGAAATTCCAGGAATGTCAGAACCCAGCTGCTTTTCTTCGTTTTCACCTCCCATTGAAAGGGGCCAAAGCAGAGGCTTTGTGGCAGCCAGGTGCTAGAAAACCTACACCAGCTGAGTGACGAAGCATTGACAAACTGCATTTTCTATTGAGGAGCATTTTTGGGAGATGAAAACCAACCTGACTGGTGACCATGACTGTACCAAATGCCTTTCGTAGGTATTCCTTTGATGCCCTTGGTATTCCGGGGCCGTAGCCACGTTGCTTAATTGTAGGAATGGATTTTGGTGATTTTTGTATTTAGTTTTGCATCTGTGGTAGCCTTTATTCTCCAGCCTATTTCAATCCTAGAAGTCAGCGGCTTGAGGGCCATTTTAAAAATACAAATCATAGCGATTCATTCCTGGAAGACGTATTGGCTCATGGATCATGTGAATCATCAAGTTAACATGCTTGATCAAAGTCAGAATGAAATCTACTTACTGTGCACTGACCCTCATGGAACCCTGAGTTCTTCAGGTATAAAACAAGGAAAATATGCAAAAACATTTTTTAGCACAAAGTACCCTCTATACAAATATTAAGTGATATTTACCAATGCTCATTCATAGGGAGTTTGATTTCATATCTAATCTTCCAGCCAACACCTCTTACCTCAGGGCAACCCATTTCTATGTATTCTCTCTTGGTGTCAAGTCAGAAAACAGCTGGGCTATATCCTTTCCAAAGTAGTGTTTTGACCTCTTAGCTTCTAACGCCCAAAATGTGGACCTCTTTCTCAAGTCTATCTGTATTTTTCTGTCATTTCGTTGTTATACACTGGGTCACCAGTCTATTGTTACTTTTTCTTTCATTCTCTCCTCTTATTCTCCACTTTAATGTTTTGTTGTTTGGAAAAATCAGATCTTCATTTTCAATTTATATATCTGCCAAAGAAACTTTCATTTTTTTTAATTTAAATTTTAGTTAGTTGACATACAGTGCAATATTGGTTTCTGGAGTAGAATTCAGTGACTTACCGTTTACATACAACACCCAGTGCTCATCATAAGTGCCCTCTTTAATGCCCACCACCCACCTAGCCCATCCCCCACCCCCCCACCTAGCCCATCCCCCACCCCCCCACCTCTCTCCATCAACCCTCAGTTTATTCTCCATTGTTAAGAGTCTCTTATGGTTTGTTTCCCTCACTCCTCCCCCGCCCCCCGTATGTTCATCTGTTTTCTTTCCTAAATTCCATGTGTGAGTGAGATTATATGGTATTTGTCTTTTTCTGACTGAATTATTTCACTTAGCCTAATACATTCTAGCTCCATCCACATTGTTGCAAATGGCAAGATTTACTTTTTTAAAAAAGATTTTTTTATTTATTTGCTAGAGAGAGAGAGCACAAGCAGGGGGAGCAGCAGGCGGAGTGAAGGGAAGAAGCAGGCTCCCTGCTGAGCAGGGAGCCAGATACGAGACTCAATCCCAGGACCCTGGGATGATGCCCTGAGCCGAAGGCAGCCGCCTAACCTACTGAGCCACCCAGGCATTCCATGAGATTTCACTTTTTTTTTTTTAAAGATTTTCTTTATTTATTCATGAGACTCAGAGGTGGAGAGAGAGAGAGAGAAGCAGAGGGAGAAGCAGGCTCCCAAGGAGCAGGGAGC